AAAAGAGTATGCACCTACTCATTGTGAACAGACTTCTACTAATTCAGTTAAATTCAGAATATAGTTACTGAATGCCTACTGACTGTCGTTTTGGGAAATGTGTCGTGATATCATGAGAACCTGTATGTATCACAGACAATACTTTAAAAAAACATTAAATAACAGGAGACTCTACCCTAGCTTCTAGTGCATATAAAAACCATCCAAAACAAATGATTGAGTCTTTAAAAAGAATATCCAGGGGATACATTTAAAAGACATTGTAGGCAGAGGGGAGGGTATAGCTCAAGCAGCAGAGTGCATGCTTAGCATGCACGAGGTCCTGGGTTTGAACTCCAGTACCTCCTCCAAAAATAAACAAATAAACCTAGTTACCCCTACCCCCCAGCCAAAAAATGAGTCAGTAAATAAAATTTTAAAAAAGACATTGTAGGCTCACTAAAAGCTATTTGAGAGCAGACCATTTCATAAATGCTTTCCATAATTATCACTGCAATCTACAGGTTAACTGATTTACCACATGTAAAATATGTCCATTTAAACTTGCTATATAGTTTCCTGTCTCTACTACTTAAAAATCCTTTCAGTCACTAGTTATATAACCCCCGCTAAAATCCACGTAACTGTTCAAACTTTCTTCATCCTTTCCCTCAACAGACTGTGAGATGATCATCCTCCTCACTGATACATCTTAGACTTCCTCAGTGTGAGCCCTGAACTTCCAGTTCTTCTTGATACTCCCTCTTCTCCACGTCTCTAACAGCATCTTTATTCTCTGCAAGGTGTAACTCTTCTGTCTGAGCTCCTGAACATACCTCCCTCATAACTTGAATTGTTAGGTTTTCCTCTCTCTTCTTCTTTCATGGTTTCTCTCCTCTGCCTTAACCCATCTCCCTTTACTATTACACAAGAAAGCTGTAATCTGTATCTAATGTTCTCATTTAATCGCCAACCATTCCGGCCTTATAATCAAACTTTTTTGCTTGTTTTGAAAATGAACTTCTATAAAGTAACCAGTAAGTTCTAAGATGCCAATGCCAAAAGCATGGCCTGTACTCATTCGTAACTCTCCCCTACCTCTCCATCACATTTGGTACAGTGGCCAAGGCCTTTCTCTCCCCCTTTCCCCTTGTGTCTCAATACTTGTTTGCTTTCCCTTAGTCCTCCTCCTCCTAAGTCTACAACCTCTGGGATCACTCATTTTCTTCTCTCCTTTAATAATTTGCCCTCCTTTTTGTCATGCTCAAGAGCATTCCCCAGACCTTATCTCACTGCTTCCTGTATCACCTGGCTTGGTATTCTCAGCTCTCCTGGTGATTTCCTCTCCATGCAGGTGGAATTCCATGTCCTACCTCTAAGTTCCATATCCCCTCTTTTACTTACACTCCAACAATTCCTTTTGATATCTTATCTTGTATGTCTTGCCAGCAACAGTAAAATCATCATCTTTCCATAGATTAATTCTTCCAACTTCTTTTTCCTTTAATGGCATCACACACACTTCCAGACTAGAAGCCTGGAAGTCTTTTCTGACACTTTCTTCTCATTTACCCCCTACATTCAAGTCAGCTGAATGTCAAATGGTTTGTACCTTGTACATTCTTATGTTATCTAATCCTTTGTTTTAATTCCTACTGTCGCCTAATGCAGGCCTTCATTACTTTTTACATATATTTGCTGGCTAACTTTTGCTCTCTGCCTAGACCCTTTCCATCTCAATTTATACTTCATACTGCTTTCAACTTTACAAACAGTTCTGATATCATTCATTTGTTCAAAAACTTACAAAACTTTCCCTGTGAATTTATTGCTAACTTTCAAACTGACAGAAAATCTTCCATAAGAAAGTCTCCAGACTACCTTTCTGGTTTTCTTTTTCATTATACCTTTATGAATATGTATTTTATATGCACACACACACACACACACTCCATACCATTAATTGTTCTCTACCTATATTTCATCTCTTGCAATCTTTAAAAAATTATTTATTTATTTATTTGTTTGTTTTTGTTTTTGAGGGGTGTGAATTAATTAATTGATTGATTGATTTTTTTTTTAGAGGAGGTACTGGGGATTGAACCCAGGATCTCGTGCAAGTTAAGCATGCGCTCTGCCACTGAGCTATACCCTCCACCCCTGCTATCTTTGTAAGTTCACTTATGCCTTCAGTTTTACACAGAATGGCTTCTAATCTCCCAGCCACCTGCTCCGCTAGCTAAAGTAGTATCTATCCTTACACAAACATGACATGTTTCCTGATTTTTGTTACTCCAACCAACTGAATGAACGTGATACAACTGCAGCCTCTCTCTGCCCTTCTAATTCTCATGGAACTTTGTATCTCTTATTGAATCTGGAGGTGTCTCTTGCTCTAGAATCACAGAAATGCTCACATTCATACTTAAAATAATTTCTATGAGAGTAAACAGCATGTCTTATTCTCCTTGTATTTCCTTTGTGCTTCAAATATAAAACATGTCAGCCCATTGAACTGAATCTCAAATGTCTCCCAGTTGTAGTCCTTCCTTTCTTTCTTCTAATTTTCACATATGAAAAGTAATGACACATTTCTATTTTTACTTTCTTTCAAAGTGAACAGTTTCCATGGATGATCGTCAGTAATATTACATGATTACAGACCTTGTACAGGACCATTTAGTTTTCAGATTTTCACATATGGGCCATAATATAAATATTCCTTTACTTCACATTTTTACCTACAGTTTTCTTTTCTCTATGTTGTATTTCATTGTTTCATTACATGATATATTACTAATTATGTTATTAATAGGTTCTTAAAATTTTAGCTGTTTCTTCATTCCTACTATTCCACAATGAATCCATTCTTCCTATGTTAAATAGTAGTACATTTTCATTTTATATTTTTTAAAAAGTGTATACCCATTTTTAATTTCTCTCAAGTAGCCAACTGTTCATGTACAACTGTAAACTCTATTATCAAATCAGTCTTGATAAGGTATTACTGTAGTAATAATGAAAATAAAAACAGCCTATTTATACCAGTACTGAAAAGAATCAAATCATACCACAATGAATAATTTATCATTTGAAATAAGTCAACATCTGAGCTTAAATTACCTGCTATTGTGTTGAGAAACATCAAGTATTCAAAATTTGAAATCTCTCTGTGTTGCCATCGCTGGGTCATATTAGAAGCTTTAAAAAGTTGACGTGGACTCGCTAATGAGATACGCCTGCAAGAAAAAGAATTTGACATAGAATCAATTTAAACTTCAGATTAACTATATTATAATAATAAATCATGAATATCTGTGCTCATTTAAAATGGCAGCTGTATTTTTCTGAGAAGTTCTATCCATGTTATACTAATGAATCCTAGAGATGTTTCGATTGACAATTAATGATTAAACAAATGATCTGGACTAGCGACCGGTCTACTGTCCATGTTCTGTTCATTAAGGTAAGCTGTCATTACAAAGCCATTATAATATCTAGGCTCCATAAATGTTGATTAATAATAGTATGACTAATAATTCATACAAGATATAAAAGGAATTCTATTAACTGAGAAATGCATATAAAATTGTATTCACATCTTTATCAATTTTAATAGTCATCTCTTAAAGACAACATATTTGTACATTATAAATTTAAACATTACATTTGCATACCCACTGTAACAGGGGAAAGAGGATTCTAACTCTAGGTGTTTATTCATGGGATAGGGTAAAGGTAAGAGAAACTATTATTTTTTTTATATAGCTTAATAAAAAACCAAGTTTTCTGTGTTTTGTCAAGGCAATATAAATAACAAACGATACAACTGACCAATACCAAATAGGTGGCAGGATGAATTATTACATTTGGAGCCCAGAATCTCAGAAACTATGCTGTCACAGTTCTTCTTACCAGTGAGGACAAGGTAACTTTTTTTTTAAAGCTTTATTTACAAATGGATAATTTACATACCATGAAATTTACACTTGTAGGTGTACTATTCAACTACTTTTTAAAGTAAATTTCTAGAGTTGCACAATTATCACCACAATGTATTTCAGAATATTTTAATCACTACAAAAACTTGCTTTGTGCCTTTCTACAGTTAATCCCCATTCCTCTCCCCAGCTCTAAGCAACTATCAATCTGCTTTCTGTCTCTATAAACTTGCCTTTTCTGAACACTTAACGGAATCATACATCATGTAATCTTTCACATCAGGCTTCTTTCACTAACTATGATGTTTTCATCCATTTGGTAGCATGTATTAACAGCTCTCTTCTTTTGATTGCTGAATAGTATTCCATTGTATGAATACAGAATATAACACATTTTTAAAATCAATTCACAAGTTAATAAACATTTAAATTGTTCGAGTATTTACCTGTCATGAAAAATGCTACTAGGAACATTCATGTACACTTTTTTGATGAACATTTGCTGGCATGTCTTTAGGATAGATTCCTAGGAGTGGAATTGCTGGGTTGTATGTTGAGTTTATATTTAACTTTTTGAGAAAATGCCAGTTTTCACTTATACATTCCAACAAGCAATGTAGGATGCTCCAATTTTTCCACATTTCTGCCAATACTTGCTATTATATATTTTGTCATAGCCATTCTGGTCAGTGTAAAATGGTATCTTATTATAGTTTTAATGCACACTGTTGAACATCTTTTCATGTATGCATTAGCCATGTTTATTTTGTTTGAGGAAATGACTATTGAAAAGTTTTCTTCCTTCATTAGTTGGGTTGCTTCTGTCCTACTACTGAGTTATAAAAGTTCTTTATACATTCTAGATATAAGTCCTTTATTAGATACATGATGTACAAATATTTTCTCAGTCTGTGACTTATGCATTCATATATTTAGTGATGTGTTTAAAGCACAATAGTTTCAAATTTTGATTAATTCAATTTCTCAATTTTTGTCTTTCATGAATTATGTTTTTGGTGTCACATCTGAGGACTCTTTGCTTAAATGAAAGTGATGAAGCTTTTATCCTTTATCTTATTTGAGAAGTTTTTTAGTTTTAGATCTTAAATATAGGTCTATGATATATTTTGAGTTAATTTTTGTGAATAGTGTGTGGTAAGTGTTAAGTTTATTATCTTGCATGTGACTATCCAATTGTTTCAGTATCATTTATTTAAAGATTATCCTTCCTTCACTGAATTGTGCTAGCATCTTTATTAAAAAGCAACTAACCATAAATGCAAGGGTTTATTTCTCTATTCTGAGTTTAGTTTTATTCATTAATATCCCTATCCTTGTATAAATGCCATACAATATTGATCACTGTGGGTGTATGGTAAGTTTTGCAATTAGATAGTGATAGTCCTCTAATTTTGTTTTTCTTTTTCAAAGTTGTCTTCGCAATTCTAGATCCATTGTGTTAGCTTCTCAATGTCCAAAATAAGTGTACTAAACTTTGATAGGCATTATGTTGAATTTACAGATCTGGGGAGAAAGGACATGGCAATCATGTTGAATCTTCTAATCCATGAACAGGGAATGTCTCAAGTTACTGATGTCTGTCTTTATGTTCTAACAGTCATGTTTTCATTTTCACTGCAAAAATTGTACACACTGTCATCTAGGAATGACGATATCCCTTTCCAATCTGAATGCCTTCGGTTTTCCCCTTTCCTTCCTTTCTTATCACACAGGCTGAAATCTTCAATTTAATGTTGATAGAAGTGGTAAGAATGGAAGACTGAAGTCTTCTCAATCTTAGAGGAAAAGCATTCAGTCTTTCAGCACTGAGTACAGTGTGTGCTGTGGGGGGGGTTTGATGGATGCTATTTATCTGTTTGTAGAAATTCACTTCTATTCCTAGTCAGTTGAGAGTTTCTAGTCACGAATGTGTATTAGATTTCGTCAGATGTTTTTTCTGTGTCTACTGAGATGATCATGTGGTTTTTCAGTACAGTATTCTATTAAACTGGTAGATAACATTAATTGATTTTCAGATTTAAACCAATTTGCAATTCTGTGATAAAACCCATATGGCTATTTCATAATCCTTTTTATATACTGCTAGTTTTGGTTTGCTAACATTTTGTAAAGGATTTTTGTGTTATGCGTTCCTTAGGGATATTGGTCTATAGTTTTTCCTTGTGATGTCTTTGTCTGGCATTGGTATTAGGGTAACATTCGCCTCACAGAATGAGTTGGGAAATGTTTCTTCTTCTTCTGTCTTCCGGATGAGTCTCTGAATTTTCAATCTAACTAGATAAGATTCACCAGTAAAGCCATCTGGGACTTCATTTTCTTTGCGGGAAGATTTTTTAATTACTAATTCAATTTCTTTACCTGTTACAGGTCTATTCAGCATTTTAATTTCTTCTCGACTCAATTCTAATAATTCTGTCTTTCTAGAAATCCCTCACCTCAACTGTCTAATTTGTTGGTCAGTGTTGTTCAGGATATTTCCTTCCAATTCTTTTATTTTCTATATGATCAGTAGGAAGTCCTTTTTTTCATTTCTGATTTTGGTAATTCATGACATGTCTTTTTCGTATAGTTAGGCAGTTAAAGTATGTCAATTTTATTAATCCTTTCCCGGAATCAGCTTTTCTTTAATTGATCTTATTTATTGTTTTTTGTTTGTTTTTCATTGGTTTCTGCTCTAATGTTCCTTATTCATTTCTTTCTACTTTTTTTCCATTTACTTTGCTCTTTTAATTTCTAAAGGTGGCACCATAGGTCACTGGTATTATTTAGGCATCTCAGGATTTCAGATGCAGGTATTTAAAGCTAAAAACTTCCCTTAAGCACTACTTTAGCTGTGTCCCACAAATTTTGATATACTATAGCTCTGTTGGATACAAAAACCTGAATCGCTGCCCTTCCGAGTGCCATGGGAGGAAGAATTGCTGGGTGCAGAAGTGGCCCAAAGTACCAAGGACGATTTTGAAGAGCTGCAGCAGCATTTGTGGAAACAAGAAGAAAGAAGCTTCTAAGCTCAGACACTCTAGATGCAGGGAGGTATGCAAGGGAGAGAAACTGGCACAGACCCTGGAGCGAAAAAAAAGGAAAAGGAAAAAAGGAGAAAAACACTCCCCACTACTCCAGTCTCCCCGTGTAGCCTGATCTCTGCCTTATCCCGTACTTCACACCAAGCTTCAAACTGCAAGAGAAGATGATTCGGTAGCTGTTATAATCCCTGATTACACACGTCTAACACTTGGTTAGTGTTTCTGAATCACATGACAGGGTTGGGCAAAACTCACAGTGAAGAGAAAACTAAAATGAGGCTGCGGGTAGAATCTTCGGGCCAATTCAATGTACCAGTATGGCTTATGACCAGTACTGATGTGCACATGCTTATACAGTTGGGTACTCATAAAGTGTCAGAGAGAATATTACAGATCAAGAAGAGCTACAGGTAGAAAAGTGATAGTAGGGCTAATTCTCCTGTCATTTGTCATCAGTAGTAGGTCAGGATTTAATACAAGTGTCTCTACCCACATCAGTCCTATTGACTGACAACTCAGAAGTCTCACACTTAAACCAGAACCAAGAGAGGCAGCCCATAAACTGCAACCAAATTCACAGGCCTGCTGGCCAGCTAGAGCTTGTTGACACCAAATGGACACACTCACAGCACTCAACCTCCGGCAGTCAAAAACTGCTGATGCGATAAGCAAACGCCATTTTTCAGCCAATGTCTTACTGATTTGTCATCAAATCTTATCTTCTTTAAATACTGTCATCCTTTGGCAACACATTTTCCTGGATTTCCTAGTTTTCAAGCCCCTCCTGTTTTGGTTTTTCTGTTTCATTTACCTAACATTTCAATGCTGCCCTTCCCCAGAACGTAGCCCCAGTTCATCCTACCCATTCTACAGTCTCCCCCCAGATGACTCCATTCCCTCTCAAGGCTTCAAATTTCATGAATGGTAATGATTCCCAACTACCACACTTTTCATTTGAGCTCTAGATATATCTTCTTATGTTCAACTTCCTATTCAACATTTCAGTCTGGACATCTCTCAAGGGTTTCAATTTCAAGAGATCTGAAACTAAATTTCTCCTTTTCAGTCCATTCACCTTCTCCCCACAATCCTAAGCCCAACCCCAACCCCAACCACTGGGGGAGATGGAGGAAGGATGCGTACAACTACTCCTTCTCCAGTGGTCCCCATCTCAGTCAGTGCTATTGGGCCATTCAAGCTGAAACTTGGGGAGACACACTGGACACCTCCATTTCTCATACTCCAAATTTAACT